AGAGAGAGAGAGAGTAAAGTTCTATTTTGATCACTAAGTATTTTGAGATCGTTATAATCACTTTTTCAATCATTGTTTTAGGCCTATTATCTATATAAAAAAGACTTAAAAAATAAGAAAATTCATAATTTTTAATCTCTTTCCATAGTCATATACAAAAAATGTAACATCCAAAAAACAGAGGTAAATTTTTGAATTTAAAAATTATCGTTAAATACAATTGGTGTCATAAAATCCATCACAATATGGTTTATCTAAATCATCAGAGTAAAATAGAAATGAATGTAGAATCATAAAGGGATGTCGTGCGATCACATCAGACCCTTCCCTTTCGTACCGGACGTGCCTAAAAATAAACATGAATCTGAAATCACATAGCTTAGTGAGTTCCCCAAAAATACCACATATCATACTAATCAGTAGGCCCAGCCCTAAGGTATATCCCAATCCAAGATAAAATCATGGGTCCAACCCTAAGGTGTATTTCAACCTGAACATGCAATAATGGGCCCAACCCTGGGGTATCTTTCAACCCAATACATGCAAAAGTCACAAAGACAAATAACATTCACATAACGCAATCTAGTGGGCCGACATTGGTCTCTTTGACCCACGAGTATGGTGAAGAGACTCACCTGTCTCATGAAAACAGCTAACCACACAACTACCACTACGCGAACGACAACGAGACACACCTATTAAATCCAACACGACCCACCTTAGTCTAATCTCCAAAACTAGCCAATTTTGATCAAAGTCAAACTAGGTTAACGAGTCAACACACAAAGTCAAATTGAACGGCTAATAACCCTAATATTGAGTCTCACGTCGTGGCCAGCTCTTGGTCACGTCGTGAGAGCTCACTCGTTCCGATTCCACTAACCAGTTCCAACTCGGCGAACTCAGTCACGAACAACCCATTCAGCATAAGTCACGATGTGAGCCATTCTTTGTCACATCGTGAGAATACAGAAGACCACCATAAACGGGATCTTTCTTGGTCACGTCATGACACCTCCAGTGTCACGTCGTGACTTCATTCTGAACCATCTTATTAATGAATTAAGCCCTTAAACCATTAAGTGTAACACACATTTTCCAGGTATTTACAATTCCAGCTCAATTATTAGTTTCCTTGCAAAAGTAGTCCCTACACATGGTGTACTTGATGCGTACGTTGGGCGTAGGTCATTTAAGATGGAATACGAACTTCGATGAGTACGATGGGCGTATATAAGGAGTACGCAGGGTGTACTCACACATACCTCAAACCCTAAATTTCAGGGTTGAGCCCCTATTTACGGACCACATGTCCCTTGAGGCCTCACCATGTTCTGCCACCATCTTCCCCAACTAGTATTTCGAAACCCTAATCCTTGATTGGATTTTGTGACCCTCTTTTGTGTGTTCTTGGTGTATAGTGAAGGAGTAGAAGTTTTTCCTTGTGGATTGTTGTGGCTAGAGCTTGAAGATCTAGGGCCTTCATCAACCTTGCAATCTTCTGGAGGTATGAAGCTCTTACCTTTACGGTTCTATGTCTTAGATCTAGACTAGCTTTGAGATTTGCATGCTTTTGGTCCCATGGTTTGGTTCTTGTGAGTAAAAGCTACTCTACAGCTCAAGTTTGTCACAATGTGTTGTTTTTGAGGATCTTGTATCATAAAAATGAAGTCTTTGTTGCGATTTCTCACTCATGCAAGAGTTTGAGGTTATTAAAGAGTATTATGGACTTAGGGTTATGTTTTGGGCTCTATTAAGCCATGCAAAAGCTTAAAGTTGTCGACTTTATCAGTTAACACCTTCACACGATTAAGATCAGTGATGGTTTTGCCCCATATCCTTAGGTATGAATAGCTTAAAAAGTGGTTTTGGGCAACAAGGGTTATGCAGGGCGTAACATATGAGTACGCAGGGCATAACAGGTTTGCCCCATATCCATATTTGTTCTCACTTAATACGCAAGGCGTAAGGATGGAATATGCATGGTGTACTCCCAAAAGTGTACTTGGGCCATTTTTTGGGCCTTGTGGCATATTTGGGTGGGTCCAGCTTGGAAAGGGTAAAATAGACTTTTACCATAGTAATAGAGAATATTAAATGGACCTTTGATTATGAGTTATTACCCTAATTATTAATTAGGGTCAGTTTTGGATATATCCGGTATGAGGAGCCTTTGTAGCAGCATATTGAGTATGGGATTTTTTTATCGTCGTATTTAGGTGAGTATTCTCACTATACTATGTAGGATGCTAGTTCTCTTTGTAATACTTGCATGAAAGACCTCGGTGTAGCCCATGACAATTACGTGAAACACCATGGGGTAGCGCATGAAACTTGGATGTTAGACCTTGGGGGTAGCCCATGGCATTCTAGGGAAAACACCATGGAGGTAGCCCGTGACACTTGGTTGTAAGACCTTGGGGGTAGCTGTAACGCTTGAATGGGTATGTTTCCTTTTCGCCCTTATAATTTTAAATATTGCATTTTTGGTCCCTGAGGTTAGTACGCGGGGATTACCATAGGGTATGCTTAGCGTACGAGCTGAGAAGCTAATACGAGGGTGTACCACATGTGTATGCTTAGCATACTAATAGGGAGAATGGATCGCGGGTTTGAGCCTCGTACGTTGGGCGTACGAGGGTTACGCAGGGTGTATGAGGGGTATAATGAAACCTTAATTTCAGGGTGTTGCACCCTATATAACCACCATAAGTCCCAAGAGTTGGCCTCTTTATCAGCCTCCATTGTACTAAAACCCTAATCTCGAACCATAATAGCATCATTGAGTGTTCTTGACCTTTTGGGGTGTATCTTTGGTTAGTTGGTGCCTTTGGTAGAAGAAGGAGTTGGTGAAGAAGCTTTGTTGGAGATTGAGCTTGTGGATACATAGATTAGGCACCTTCCTCATCTGCAAAATGGTATAAAGCCTCAACCTTGATCTTTTTATGCTTAAATCTCTTCATGTTACTATTTTATGCTTTTTGGTCCCTTTTGGGTTGGTTTGCTGAGTTAAAGTCGTTTGTGGATACAGTCTTACCCGACGGGGCCCGATGACCATTTTGTATGCTATGTATCTTCGTGATTATTGCATGTGTTATGTGTTTATGTGTTTACATGTTTATATGTATGCCGGCCGATGCCCGATTAATTAAGGTAGAAGCTCAAGATATTATTCCAATCATAGAAATTATAATCATCAAATGTTACCGTCTTTTGAAACCCACAAAAGAGGGAGATTTTGTAGGGAGTAAGAGTATTAACAGTTATATATAGAGTTTAACAAAGTTTCACTTAGTATTTTTAAATATTTAGTCTTTAAAAATTAATACCTTTTACCGTTTCTTAAAACATTAATTTACTAAAGTCTAGGATCCAACTAATAAAACAAGTTAATGGTTAGGTGACATTTTGTTGGGTTTTGAGCATTACATCAATCCTATGGTGCACATGCAAATAGGTTTCTCTAATTGTACATGCAAATCATCGAAAGCTTGTAAACCCTAATACTAGCATACAAAAATAAAAAACAATAACTAAAACAAGTTTAGATGATTACCTTTCAATTGTAGTAAGAATCTTCAACCTTTGAGAGCTTTAGTATCACAAGTGTAATACCTCTAATCGATCACAAACAACAAGGCAAATTGGATGATCTTGGAGAGAGGGGAAGATCTCTAGGGTTCAAGTGGTAGCCGAAAATGCAAAGCCTAGGGTCCTTTATATAGGTGAGGTGTTAGGGTTTCAGTCAAAACCCTAATTGGATTGCTTAGGCCTTAAGCAGTCCAAAGGAACCTTCCAGAAACAAGGCTTGGACGAATTGAATGTCGGCTTCCCCCTTGATTTCGTCCACCCCTTTCTTAGGGATCCACAACCCAAAATCCAATTATCTTATAATTGAAATTCCAGTCCCCTAAGTTTAATTAATATCTTTTGACCACAAAATTAATTCTTAATTAATTCTTGACCAATATTACTTAACCAATATGATTTCAGTTTTAATATATTATTCATATAATATATTAATAAACCATAATAACATCTTTCTCTATTAACCATCCAATCAAGTTGCTCTGGTGTAGGCAACCCAAAAGGACCATGCTACAACCGGGTCAAGTACATACCAAATATAGTTGTGGGCTTAGACACCTAATCCAACAGTCTCCCACTTGG